GTCCCACTACAAAGTTTCATTTACAAAATTTCTCCTAATGACCTCCGGACAAATACAAAATGGTACTCACTCAATATCTCATAACGAATTCTAGACAAACTTTTATATAAACACAGTAATACCAATGTATAAGAGATGAATCAAATGAATCTGACAGGTTCATGAACGGAAGTTAGGTTATAAAAAAAAAAAAAAAAAAATTGTTATTTAGATTGAACTATTTATTTTGCTACAAGAAAGAATAAGTTCATGGGCCAAATAGGCCCAAAGATTCATTATGCAAGAGGTCACATATATAAATCTAGAAAAAGAAAATATGAAAATAAATTTAATCTAAAATAAAAGAATTATAGTGTGGCTAAAACTTCTAATTTTGTGGTCACCCAAATAATGGGTTAGTTTACAAAAGATTAAACCTTTTTAATTAGAGTTTTGGGAAGCTCGAATTAACTTTAATATAGGCTTCCTACTGACTTATAAATAACAACTTTTACCAAATTTTGTTCTAATCAAATTTATTTTAAAACACTATCTTTTGTTCCGCTACAAATTTGTTTGGTAAAAAATATATTTTTTAGTGAATAGGATCGTCGTTGCAATTTTTTTTTTTAAGGTTTTTTTAGATATTTTTTCTTAGTATCCATTTAATTTAGATGCGATCGTCAGTTAAAATCTTAATTTTGTATTTTGTTTTAGAAATTCTAAATAGGGTAATAAAACTTCACTCAAACATCTAATTAAAATTTTGAATTTAATAAATGAATATAATAATAATAATAATAAGGTTTAAATTTATAATCATCTACAAAGAAATAGTAAAAGACAAAATCCAAGGAGAAGAAATTTTTAGACCCTTTTGAATGTATTATAAATTAACCGATTTAGGTATATTTGCTAAATATTAATAAACATGTAATCATAATAATATACATGTAATGTTGCTTATTATATTATAAAATTGAAACATGCAATCACATATTCCTCAACTTTGTGTTATTTTTTATAATATGAATATATATATATATATATATATATATATAATGGTTTGACCAAGTCTGAGTCAACTCATCATCCAAAAAAACTGTAGACGTGGCATCCACTTTATGATTTGATTACAAGATTATTCCAAAACACACCAACTTAGATATTTATAAACATTGAATTTTTCTGCTTATTTATTTATTTATTTATACACCAATGAAATTCTTTTTCTCAAAAAAAAAAAAAAAAAAAAGGTTTCCTTATAAAAATAAAAATAAAACAAGAGTTTTATGGTCCATTTTGGTTCGAAAAAGACGCCATGGAAATTCTAAGACCTTGGTTTTTGTTTCATCTGTTGGCCGTCAACCTTCTTGCCCTCTTGCTTCCCCTCTCGCTCCTCCTCCTCGCTCGCCTCTCTTCCGCCCTCTATCTCGCCGGCCTGCCGTTGCTTCCGCCCCTGTTGCTCTCTCTTATCCTCTATGTAACCTCCCCCCTTCTTATCCTTCTTGTTTCTTTCGTTGTCGTCTCCGCCCTCCTCCACTCCCTCACCGGAAAATCTGCTCTTCCGACCAAACTGCCTGCCCCTCTCTCCCAACCCCGTCTTTACACTACATGGATTTTCCTCTGCACTCTTCAGGTACGTCAAAACATTGATTTTTTTTTAGTCCAAACCGTTCAAAATTATTTAGAAAGAGTCTCATATTGGTTAATTAACAAATAGACCTCTATTGAACGAGGTCTCTTGAGAATCCCAACGTAAAAATCATTAGAGCTTGTGCTCAATGTGGACAATATCATATTATTGTGGAGGTTCGTGATTACTAATATAGTATCAAAGTCGTGCGCTTTGTTAGAGGAACACGACTTTCCACAATAGTATGATATTGTTCACTTTGAGCATAAGCTCTCATGACTTTGCTTTGTGCTTCCCCAAAATGTCTCATACCAATGAAGGAAATATTTTTTTTATTATAAACCCATGAACATTCCCTAAAGTAGTCGACGTGGGACTTTCATCCAACACCCTTAGCCATATTAATAAAATCCTTTAAGTGTCGAACAAATAAGTTATGAGATTCGACGGAGTAGTCAAAAGTGAGTTAGGTGTCGAACAAAGGGTTTACTTTGTTTAAGGGCTCCAGAGAAAGGAGTCGAATCTCGATTAAGGGGAGAAACTATTCGAGAACAACATAGGTGTCGAGTCTCAATTAAGAGGAGACTATTTGAGAGCTACATAGACTTTCGGGGAGGCTCTATAGTGTATTTTGTTTGAGGGGAGAATCGTTGGGAGGGAGTCTCATATCGATTAATTAAGGAGTTTGATCATGAGTTTATAAGTGAAAAATAAATTTCTTATACGAGTTGTTTGGGAGAAATCTAAAATAAAGTCATGAAAGTTTATACTCAAATAAATAATATCACGTGATTCCTAACATAAATATGATAATTTATATATAATATTTTAATCAATTCAGCTTTATGTATGATGTATAATAGCCAATTGGAGAGATTTTTTCAAATTCTTCAGATTTTTCTTAGTTTTCTGTCTCTGTTCCTAACATTTTGAACAACAACAGGTATGTGTCGGCGTCGGGATCGAGGGAAGCTTATCAAGCGGCCTCAACAGCGCAGCGGCAGGCCACGTCGAGGGTGGTCTGTGGAGGAGGTTGTTGTTCTTCTTTGGGCTGCATGAGGCGGTGGTGCACTGGACAAGGGCGGTGGTGAAGCCGGTGGTGGACGACACCGTATTTGGGGAATCTCGAAAGGAGAGGTGGTTTGAGACGGCGGCGACCGCAGTGAGCTTGGGTGGGGTGTGGTGGTGGCGATTGAGAGATGAGGCAGACGCGCTGGTGGTTGTGGCGGAAATAAAGTGGTTGACGTCGACGGAATTGGGTCCGGCGGAGGTTGCTAATTGGTGCCTGTACTACATAATCGTAGCCATAGGAATTGCTAAGATTGTGAACTCTGTTGCATGGTTGGTTCGGATTTTGGTCCCTAAAAAACATTCTAAATGCTCGGATGAGGTTGTCGTTGTGAACAATGTTTGAAAATTTTAATTAATTCTAAAATTTACAATTTATTGGTCGCATTCATTTTTTTGAATTTATATATATCTCAGTTAAGGTATAGCAATTTGATACCATATTAGGAACCACGTACTCCCACTGTACACCTTGAATATAAGCTCTCATGAGTTTACTTTTGATTTTTCCAAAAGACCTCGTACCATATATATTTACTTATAAATCCATTATCAATTCTTTAATTAACCGATGTGGGACTTCTCTCCCAACAATCCTCCCCTCGAACAAACTACACCATAGAGCCTCCCTCGAGGCCTATAGAGCCCTCAAACAACCTCCCCTTAATTGAGGCTCGACTCCTTTCTGTAAAGCCCTCGAACAAAGTACATCATTTGTTGAGTCATTTTTTTACTACACCTTTTAGGCTCACAACTTATTTATTTGACATTTGAGAATTATATTGATACGACTAAGTGAAGAGCATGACTCTAATACTATGTTAAGAATCACGAACCTTTTGTAACAGCCCAAGCCTACCACTAGCAGATATTGTTCGCTTTAGCTTGTTATGTATCGTCGTTAACCTCACGGTTTTAAAATGCGCCTTCTAGGGAGAGGTTTCCACACTTTTATGAAAAAAAATATTTCGTTTTCTTCTCTAATTGATGTGGGATCTCACAATCCACCCAAGAATCCTCACGAGGAACATGTTCTATTTTGGAAAAATATGAAGTTGACTTGTTGTTTGATGCTTCTGTCGAGAGGAGGCAATTCTTGAGGCAAATATGTTAAACAATGAGTTGAAGATTAATAGTCTCCCCAGATGAAATTTGATGGTAAATTGTTGGGAGAGGAATTCCACATTGTTGGGAGAAAAATTTCATCATGGGTTTATCATTATTGGTACGAAGGTTGGGGAAACCAAAAGCAAAATCACAAGAGTTTATGCTTGAAGTGGAAAATATTATCCCATTGTGTAGAGTCATGGTTCCTAACATGGTATCAGAGTCATGTTCTTAACTTTATCATATCAACAAAATCAGTTGTGAGCCTCCAAGGTTTAGTCAAAAGTGACTAAAGTGTCAAACAAATGGTGTACTTTGTTCGTTCGAGGGCTCTAGAGAAGGAGTCGAACCTCAATTAAGGGGCGATTGTTCAAGGGTTCCATAGGCCTCAAGGGAGGGAGACTCTATGTCGTACTTTGTTCGAGGGGAGGATTGTCGGGAGAGAGTCTTACATCAGTTAATTAAGGGGGGTTGATCATGAGTTTATAAGTACGAACACTATCTCCATTAATACAAGGCTCAAAGTGAACAATATCATAAAGTCATCATAGAGAATCGTGGTTCCTAACACTATTTATTAAGTGTAACTTTGAATATTGTATCAATAGAGCTCAAATTTTTTTAAACGTGTCAAATAATATGAGAACATTTTGAAAGTTTATAAAATTAAAATTTTAGTTTTATTAGAAATCCTATTAAAAATAGTGAGATTTATTTAAAAATATATAAAAATTCAGCAAGAGTAATTCAATAAATATAATACCCTACTATTAATTATAGTTGGCAAATCAAAATCACAAAAAAAAAAAAAAAAAAAAAAAAAAAAAAAAAAAAAAAAAAAAAAAAAAAAAAAAAAAAAAAAAAAAAAAAAAAAAAAAAAAA